TTTCACAAGCCCCGGAAGACCAGCAGCATAAAATTCTTTGGGCTGCTGTCGGAACCAGGTGTGTGTTCACACAGCATGGCTTACTTCATAATGCATGACAGGTTAGGTTTTCACAAAATCTGTGCACAATGGGTGCCGTGCATGCTGACCCCACAACACAAAATGCAAAGAATGGGTTTGGCATTACAGCATCTCAGATGCTACCATGATGAAGGACACGACATGTTAGCCAAAATTGTCACAGATGATGAGTGTTGGATTCACCATTACCAGCCCAAGAGAAAGCATGCATCAATGCAGCAGTGCAGTGGAAACAACCTGCATCACCTGCCAAAAAGGAATTTAAGGATGACACCAACCTCCAGGAAAGTGATGCTCACAGTCTTCTGGGATCACGAAGGCATATTGGTCACCGCATTCCAGCCTCAAGGAATGCTGCCAAGCATTTTTCAGATCAGTACTCTTATTTGTTTAAGTTCTATATCCATTTGTAACTTACTTATTGACTTACCCTTGTACATACAGAAAATAAAAACTCCCACTTAATGTATCCCCTTATTTAATCTTGAGTTGGGCCTATAGAAACCACCTCACTGTCCATGTTGTTGTAGGCTTTACCTAGCTCCGGCTGTTTACTCAGCCATTGCTAATTAGCGAAAGGTTCCCAACTTGTGATTGGCTAGCACTCAATCCACTGTGGGTGGTTCCCACAGTCACATATTATTGTAGACTTTACCTAGAAATGACTGTTTACTTTCCGTTGCTGTTGTCACTGTAACATTTACTTGAATGTGGGCAGTTCTACAAATGTTTTCTGAGGAGAAAGTAAACTGTCAGTCTATCGTGGATAATGTAAGTCTTATTGTATTCACTAAATTAATTAGGGACTTCCCGTTTTCACTGTAAGGTGTAAGATCCCAGTCCTTAAGCCAGGTGTGTCTCCGCTGCTAATAGTGTATATCAGTTTCCTTCTTTTTTTTAGTAGGAGTGGAAGATGCATTTCCTTTGTGCAATTCTGGTTAAATTGTTATCTCATTGTGTCCTTGTGTTTGTCATGTATTTTAATTTTATGCCTGAGGTAGGCCGCTCTAAAGATTAACTGAACTGAACTGAACTGAACTGAATTGTATACACCAGCTTTCTGTTTAAATCAAATAATATAACGTAACGTGTCTGCAATCCAGAAGAGTCACTTCTATGGAAACGCTAGAACAGACCGTTGCATAGGAAGTAACAATAGCGGCACTGTAATCCCAACAGTGAGCCGTTGTGTAGAGAACATCGAATCTCCACGGTTACGACGAATACGCGAAGCATTCCCACAGAGACAACGCAATAACAATGGGTCATTGCGTAAGAATCGCGGAACAAACAAAGCAACGTTTCCACTGCTATAACAGGGTTCATTTGGATAGCAGCGACCGAGGGGATAAATAGCCCAGCGTCGACGAGAAGCAGTCAGTCTTTATCCAGCCGTCTAAGAGGTGAGGCTTGGAACATCCGCCGCAAAAGGGAGTCCAGTACCGTCGAGATATTATAAGCAGTATTTGTAACACTGCAAGAGCAAACGATTGTAAAGCGTGTGATTGTGCAGGTGTGAAGAACAATAAAGGTTCTACGGAATTTGAGACTGGCGTAAATTTATTTGTAGCATGACACGCAAAACACCCAAGTTGTTTGTTTATTTGTTTTCTGCATTGTTGTGTTGTTATTCTGTATTTTTGCTGACTCTATAATTGGTCCCTGACTGTTGAGTTCAGGACACATATCAGTATTATGTTGTTGTTGTTTGCTCTATTCTTACACTCTTTCATCATATGTAATGAGATAAATTATATTTTAATAGTGTCTGGAATATATAGGTTATATATATATATATATATATATATAATGAACTAGGTACCTTAATTAAATACAGGTACTTCATGAACATATAGTCTTTTTGTGTATTGTTCAGCTGTGTCTGTAAATGTCTAAACGTGTAAAATGTTAATCTGACATTTTTTGTATTACCAAGGTAAACGACTGCAAGGGACAGTCAAAAAGTTCCCGGAGTGGCAGTATAGCACTCTAATGGTAGGACATACGGCAATGCTTACCTAATCACCTTCAAAGTAGGACCTTTTCACATGCACACAGTTGGTCTTTCGATCCTGCCATTGTTGGAAGCAGCGGTGGAAGGCTTCTTTTGGAATCTTCCAAAGCTCAGCCATCACATTCGATTTGATGTCCTCCATGGTTGCGAAACGTGTCCCCTTGAGGCCCATTTTCAGAGTAGGAAACTGCCAAAATCACTTGGAGCAAGATCCAGAGAGTAAGATGGTTGAGTGATGACAGGTATGTTTTATTGGTGAGGAATTGCTGCACAAGCGATGTGTGGCTCAGTGTGTTACCATGATGCAGAAACCGCTGTCCCTGCCACTTTTCGCGCTGCTTCCTCCGAACAACCTCTGCAAAACTTGCATGTAGAAATGGCCAGTAACATTACCAACTTCTTGCTCCAACTCTGCAATGGTCATTCTTCGATCACATCGCATCAGTTGTCGCACTTTTCCAATCATTTCTTCGGTTCTGAATGTTGAAGGTCTCCCGCTACGCTGACCACCCTCTAATGTCTCCTGCCCATTCTTAAAGCGGGGAAAACGAGTCGTAAACTGCAGATTTCTTTAGTGCAGTATCACTGTAAACTTGCTGAAGGCCAATAGCATCTCTGAAGCAGATTTTCCCAATTTGCACATGAACTTGATGTTTGCACGCTGTTTGAACTGTGACATTGCGCCAAATGGCCAACACTCACGTCTAATTCAAACGGAACAATAACGACACTGCACATTGAAACCTGTCCAGACCTGTTGTGCCTGCAAGCAGACATGCTGAGCTTCCCACCACAACAGTGTGTGCGCTATCTTATCTCTCGTTCTCCGTCTGCAGGGGAATTCCGGGAACTTTTTGACTGACCTACGTATATGTCTGTGGAACTGCATAGTTTCTATAAATCTGTTGGATGAATTGTAATCTGTTTTTGACTTCCAGTTTGTTTGGATGTTGATTCTCTCAGAGAAGCAAATTAAAATTTGCCATTTAGTAAAAGTGTGTTAGTAATCAGATGTGTGTGTGTGTGTTTGTATTGTAATAGTAGTAAAAGGTTCACAAAAGTAGTGAAGTGTCAATAAAATCCATACATTACATACACTTTGGGTTATTTGAAAGCATAAATTCCTCAACAGAGTAAAAGGAGTGTGTAATTAAGTGACTCTTTAGTGCTGCTCTAAATTGTGCCTGTTTATCTATAAGAGCTGTAATATTTGATGGTAGACTGTTGAAGATTTTAATGCCAACATAATATGCACTCTTCTGGAAACATTGGAGGGTGGCAATTGGTCTATGAAGCTGATTTTTATTCCTTGTGTTGACAGTGTGAATAGTAGAATTAGTTGGAAAGAATTCTTGGTTTTTTGCAATGAAGATCATTAGGGAGAATATGTATTCACATGGTAGAGTTAGGATTTCTAGTCTCTTAAAAAGATTTTTACATGAGTCTCTTGGTTTAACACCAGCCATTAATGTAACAATTTTCTTTTGTAAGATGAATATCTTTTTACTGTAAGATGAGTTGCCCCAAAAGATTATACCATACTTAATTACAGAGTGAAAATAGGCAAAATAAATTGATTTGAGAGTCTCAGTATTGCTGACATGAGACACACACCTAACCGCATAGCACGCTCCACTTAGCTTAGGAATCAACTTGTCTATATGGTCTGACCAACTTAGGCGGCTATCAATTTGCAAGCCAAGGAATTTCATATCTACTGACTCTTCTATATATTTTCCATTATATCCAATATTTAAAACATACTGAGGAA